TCCTATATTTTAGGTATATAATATCCATCTCAGATGACCAGTGTCCCTTTAAAAAATCTCAGTAGTTAAAAATAAGACCTCAAAAATCTGAGGCCCTGAAAATGAGAGACAGAGAAAGGAAATACTTAGAGCAAAGTATGTATTACTTGCATGCATGCTTACAGGGGGAGAAAATAATGAAATTATGGTAATGTGTTGTTTTCTCACTACTAACATTGTCAATGTATGTTGTCATAAGAAACAGTAGTTGATGTTGGTTTCTGGTTCTTATTTTTATAACTGTGTTGAACACTACCTGTCTTTTGAGAAGCATTGAATTACTTACGTCTGTTTTAGTAACAAGCTTGAAATAATTCACTTACAAAAGTGTTGCTTTACTTAGGGAAACCCTTCCATCCTGGCATACTTACGAATACATATATACATATGATTTTACAGTATTCAGCTCAGTCCTGCAGCATCACTTTAATCCATTCTTCATCATGCTTTCACATACTTTTCCAGTTAAAGATAGAAATAAAAAGTATCTTCGTTGTATCTCCCATATAATGTGGCATTTTTTAAAACGTATTGAAAGAGAAAAGTGAAAATTTTTATTCACAGTCGTATGCATATATTGTTAGTGGCCCAGATTAGCATAGTATCTGAATGTATAGAATCTTTATCTATCTCATATCCCTAATCTTGTTTCTTTAAGTACTACAAACTAAAGACTATGGGTTTAAAATTTAAATCAGTGCATGAATGAGTAATCAGAATTTTGTAACCTAACAAAATTTCTGCCCCTGTAAAGTGCACACACACATGCATATACATACCTACATCTATTAGGGAACTTTTGGTCCAGAGTTTTGCTTGCTGTAAATTTAGGAGGATTTTGCTGGGCTCCCACTGACTCCAACATGTGAGCAGTTGTACGCAGCAGTGATGCAGGCAGCACGCTCCACCCAGGGAAAGCTCTTCCTTCTGTATTATTAGGGTGCTGCTCTGCAGTTCCCCGGATAGCCTGCTACTGGCGCTTCAAAAAATCCCCACTTCATACACCACTGCTTCCTTCGATGCACAAATAGGAAATTGTGCACAGTTCTCAGACTGAGGCTTTACTGGTCTTGTTAGTCATATATTTATCTCAAGCGATACATGACTCTGGCTGTCCGTTGGCAAACCAATACTGGAAAAGTTTGTGGAGGAATAGTGTATCTCTGGCTTGTTACACATCTTGCACTAAAATTATATACAGCCAGACTGAGTAAGAATATTGCAAGTAACCCACTGCCAAGGGGGCCTTGGCTTAAGGAAATGTTCTGAGGTCACTTTATCAGTATCTGGCAAGCCTGAGACAAGTATGGAAATAAGCGACAAGTCTGATGCTGCTATGAGACTCCTAAGAGGTCTTTTCATTTTTGGAAATACCTTGTGCTAACTTGTATGGTGATTTTGCAAAGACTCTTGATTTTTTTCAGAAAGATAATAATTTTAAAGATATGCTATGCAGATCTGTGAGGACATTTGAAAGCGATACTGCTGCTGTACATGGAACAGTATGACAAGACAGTACATTTGCCTAAGTTCAGAAGGGGTTTTTGAGTGTCTTTTTAGCATGTGATTTTAATAGCATTATTGGTACAGAGCAAAGGAATGGGGAGTCAGAACACTAAAGGGAAAGAGGAGGAAGACAGGGGGAAGAAAAGTATTTTTATATTGGTCAAAAGAGTACTTGAAAGGGATGTTGGATTACACTGAGGAAGGAGAAATAGGAGTATGAAGTTGCGTCAAGGAAAGACATTCTGGGGAGATGCATGTAAAGAGGCAGTTTAGGGACTGAAGTAGTCCACTGGAGGTAGTGAGGGAGAAGGAGCTTTTTGTAGAATCATAGAATGGTTTAGGTTGGAAAGGACCTTGAAGATCATCAAGTTCCACCCCCCCTGCCATAGGCAGGGACACCTCCCACTAGACCAGATTGCCCAAGGCCACGTCCGGCCTGGCCTTGAACACCTCCAGGGATGGGGCCTCAACAACCTCTCTGGGCAACCTGTTCCAGAGCTTTACCACCCTTAAAGTGAAAAACTTCTTCCTAATGTTTAATCTAAACCTGCCCTCTTCCAGTTTAAACCCATTCCCCCTTGTCCTCTCACTACATGCCCTAGTAAAAAGTCCTTCCCCAGCTCTCCTGTAGGCCCCTTTAGGTACTGGAAGGCTGCAGTAAGATCTCCCCGGAGCCTTCTCTTCTCCAGGCTGAACAGCCCCAGCTCTCTCAGCCTCTCCTCGTAGGAGAGGTGCTTCAGCCTTCGGATCATCCTCGTGGCTCTCCTCTGGACACGCCCCAGCAGGTCCATGTCCTTCTTATGTTGGGGACTCCAGAGCTGGATGCAGTACTCCAGGTGGGGTCTCACGAGAGTGGAGTAGAGGGGCAGTAAGAGCTTTTGGGCTCCTTATTTTCCTCTGTCATGGAGAGGCCTGCTTCACTCTGTGCTTTACACTGCTTAAAGGTGAGCTGGCAACCGTGCCTTTTCTTCATGTAAAAACTTTCTATTAATACCATGTGGCTAATGCCTGCTGTAGGAGTCGAAGGGATTACCATTACAGGAGCATGAATTTCTTGTCCTTTTCCTAGCCTCTATGTTTTGAAATGTTTTGTATTTCTGGTTTTTAGAAATCTGAGTCAAGCTGAACTCAGTGTTCTAGAAAGACACAAATTATCACTAAGCAACCTTAACTCTGTGCGTAAAACATTTTTGTCTCAGCATATTCAGAGTTCCTACAAAGTAGTCAAATGCTGTTTGCATTTAGATCAGCTAAGCGTATGGGGCATCCTGGGGGCAGCATTTTTTCATGTGCATCTCCAGAAGTTCCATTCCATGTTCCTCTGTGCCATGTACTTCCAGCATTTCCCCTGACAGGAGCATTTTGGTTTTGTACAGAAAGCAAAAATTATACCTTTTCTTGAAAGGTTGGAAAGAAACCATAATTTCCTGTAATGAAAAGTGGAAGACTATGTCAACGTGTTCTGTGAGGAAAGCCATCTTCATTCTTCATCTTGTCTAGCTGAGTGTGTAAACAGCATTTTGGCAAGACTCTGAGGGTGAAGGATAGGAGGGTTTCTATTATATAGTTTCATTGAGTATTATTAAAGCTATTGCAAATAAAATACTCAAAAGAACTTTTTGTGCAGTCAAAATGGATTAAAGAGAAAAAGTCTTTGGTAAGAAAAAACAAGAAATAGACTTTTTCTGGATTCTGTTGTTTTTTGTTGTTTTTTCTCCTTGAAAGCCTAGTGGAGGTCTCCAGATTCCAAACTAAACTGCTTTTGTCTACTTCTTGCACAATTCTACATTAGTTTTTTAAGCGACCTTTTTATATAATCATTTTGATATCTCTTTTCAATTCATTAACACATTTCTCCAAATCTTTTTTATAGTATTTTAAGCATTTTCACTGTGTATAACTGTTCTAGGAAAGAAGTCATTGTAGGGTGGTGATGGAATTTGGGTTGTGCTACCTGATGCTTTCATTTGAGTTGGTTTTTTCCCATTGGAAATAAAAGACGTATTAATGGCGGTTAAAGGGCAAAGGTTCCTCTACTATGTGAGATCTTTTCTTTGGCAAAGGCATGTTCGATTGCTGAGAAAGTCTATACTAACAGATACGTCTTTTTTAATATCACTTCTGTTAGTTTTAAAGGCCCTTAGTAAACTCAGAAAAACAAGTCCTGTTAGGTATTACTCGTGGTAATAGAATTGTCTATGACAGAAGTAACCTCCTCATACTGAATTTATCGTTCTTGTTTGAAGAGGAACAGTGACCTCACAGAAGTAGTAATATTAATCTGATACCTTTAATGACTGAGAAATATCTAGCTGTCATAAATTTGTACTAGTAACTAAAGTTATAGCTTTTATGACGAAGTTGCTGCATCTGAACATTTCACTGAAAATAAAAGCTGTGTGAAGAAAGAAAATACATAGTCCCTTTTGCATCATCAAAAATTACTAAATTGTCCAATAGTTTCCAGAAGTTAAAATAAATACTGCAGACATGCAGCTGTCTATTTAGTTCCCAGCATGCTGGAAACATGAAGAGATCCTACCAGTTTAGTCGGAAAACTACTTTCAAAGAACTGATGGCTAAAATAAGACAACAGTACCAGACTACAAGCAAGGAGTTCTTGTAGTTGTCTCCCCTTTACACAGTTTCCAACATGCAATACTCTGCCTTCCCAAGCTATGAGATAAGTCAACATCAATTTTGACATAATAAAACTTTGAACTTACTTGTGACTCATCCCTGCATTAAAGATGAAGGGTGTTTTTCTCCTCTCCCTGCCCCTCCTCCATAGGATGCAGCTGAGAGATTCTATTTAACATCTGCTAAAATCACTGAAAGCTCTTTCATTGATTTCAGTAGAAGCTGGATTAAGCAGGTTTTGTCTTTGAACTTTACTCTTAACAGAAGGAGTTTTTTTCCCTTTGCTTGGCATTAAATGGCATGCCACCTATTAATTTTCCACAATCAAGGCAATGAGAGTATTAGCATCAAAAGAAATCGAAAAATAATAAATTGTTCTTCTTTAAACTGACTTCCTTTAAACCTAATCTGCTATAAAGCAAGACTGCATGTACATGCTAGAATAGTAGACAAGTCTTTGCAAGATTGGAGCCTAATCTTCAAGTTTTGTTATCTGTTTTCTAAAACATTATTTATGATTTATTGTGCCGAAATTAAAACAAATCTGAATTGTTTACACATTCCACTGCTGTTCCATAGATTAGTGTTTATTATTTATTACGGATATGTTCTTAACATTGTTAATATATATGTTAATCATTTCCTGTGTTATTTAATATCCTTAATCTGCATACACTGCTCTTCATACCTACAGTTCCATTAACAAAGTGGGGAGAGAATGTGTTTGTACCTGCATACAGTTTTTTAAATCAGTAGTGACTTTCCTTTTCCTTTAACTTTTCTAATACAGTTTATTTATTAATATTACTTTTCAGAAAAAACAGAGAACAAAGGATCTGTCCCAGCTGTTTCATTCATACAATCCATATGATCATAAGGTAAGAAAAAAATATACTACCTATGTTTGTTGTTAAGAATAATTCCAAACGTTCGTGTTAACTATATGTCATGTTTAATGCAAAAATGATAGGAAATTATAAAATTGAAAGTGCTAGGGTATTCGTGTTACTTAAATTATGCTATCATACAAATGTTTCTTTGTTTCTTCAAGCCAAGCTTGAAAAGCTTCATTTTCTCATTTGTGAAACCAATGACTCACATTAACCTCATAGAAGTATAATTTATAGACTGACACTAAATCCTGCAAAGTGACCATATGTGGTATTAGATTCCTCTCTTTTTTTCCTCTCTATTTAGAAACTGTTACCCTTGAGTATGTTGCTTAGCCTGTTGTGTCAATTAGGCCCCGAGATATATGATGCTAATGAATTATCTATTGATTCTGGAAGCATCATTGGAAGAGGCTGCTTTGGTAACAAGCCTGATGGTTGTCTGGAGGAAGAAGAAGAAATGCACATCTTCATTATAACTTGATCCTTGTTTGTCAAGTCTGGGAACCCTAGTAAAAAAGAACCTTGTTTATTATATCCTGTACTATAGGGTGAATAAAGAAGATCACTTCCCTAAAGACATTGCAATGTGAAATAAAAAATTAATGCTGTTTAAAGAAGATTTTGGAGAACCAGGAGACAGAGATCATTTCTGTGCTATAACTATTTGTCATGGGGTTTTTGTAGCCATTATGCAAAAGAGAGCATTAAGCAGCAGATTGAAGGCGAGCTAAGTAGGTTTGTAGATATTTTCGGGGACTTCCTCCTATCTTGGATGCATCTGTTGGCATGTTAAGCAAGTGTACTAAATCCTTTAACAATTTGTCAGCTGTATGAGATCGCTGTCTTTGCTGCTTCTGTTTTGCAAAGTGCAAGTATCCATTTCAAAAAACAAAGATTTGAAACATTTTTTTTTTGTTTAGACATTGCAAAGGAAAGTTCTGAACTCTACCCTTTCTTTTCCTGGCCATGTACCAAATAGCTATACGTTGTAAAAATTAGTTAGCTCTTGTATTCGGGGGAAGAAATTGGCAGAAGTGTGTATATGTGTGCACCCATCTCTAAGTATGAGCATGTGTGTATGTGTGCAACTACACCTATGTCTATGAGAAAGAAATACATTGTATAAATATTAACGGATTAAATTTATCATGTAGGTCGCTGCTATGAGAGTTACATAGTTACCAGCAACTTGAAAATTTACAACTTAAAAACCATTGTCAAACAGTAGGTATAGGCTACAGTTTTGATAATTATATATCATTTCAAGTTAAATCCATCACTTCAAAGTATTCTTTTTTATAGATAGATTTGCATTATTTATAAATAAAGCAGATATTCAGGGCATGTGAAAATTGAGAAACATGAAGAATAAAGGAAGAAATTAGTGTGACAAGATTTTGAATGGAATCATTGCTTTTTTGAGTTGAAACATTTTAAGGTAAATGTAATAGTAAGTCAATTGAGATCTAATAAGGAGAAGCAATTGATGAACCAGCAGCTTTGATATTCCCCTCCATGTCTAAATTCTCCTGTGCCAAACACTTTTTATTCATAGTACAAGGAAATTCCATTATTCTTTTATTAGCACTTTTAATGGAGCTTGGCCATTTGATACTGCTACTGCCTTCCTGCTCACATCCTTTGTGGCATTATATCAAAGTGTCCTCAAATGATTTTGGCTTCAGTTGTGAAGACTTGTGCACTCTTTACAAATTAGTCATCAGGCGATGTGGAATTGAATATAAATGCTTAGATATATTCCCTTTTGATCTTTGTTTTAGGACCTTTAATAAATTATTAAAAGTAGCACAATTATTTGATGAGTGATTTTTTGAAGCTACACTATTTTGCTGCTTCCATGAACATTCTGCATTTATATCTGAGAGTAAAAGGGGGGAAAAAGGACAAATGAAAGTTTATTAAAAAGACGATCTTTCCTTATTTTCCATTTGACAGTGAAGGCTTTCCTTCTGCTACTTCCTATTTGTAGTGGCTGCAACAAATTCATTGCAGATTTCTTACTCTGTGCTTTTAATTTCCTCCTCAGATGTCAATTTCACAATTGTTGCGTCCAGGGGAGGGCTTTTAATTTTTACATTAAATCTAACAGTAATCAGCATTGGTTGAAAATACAGTTATTTCAAGTAGAGGTTTATATTAGTTTTACTCTAGTTCTGTTTTGTCTGATTTAAATGGCAAAAGGGTTGGTTTTGAGGGGGTGGGGTGTTTGCTATTTTGTAGATTATTTTCAGTAAGCATAAAAAAGAGATTTTATGATGGCTTTATGAAAGTGTTAGTGATGCAGGATCATGGCACGAATGACTTGAATTACTGGCTTCCGGGATTCTCAGTTGGTTGATTAAAAGGTTTTTCTCTGATAACTTTTCTCAAGTAGAAAAGAGAGAACCTTAAAGGATAAGTTGGAGCTTGGTAGTAGTAGTAAAAACAGATTTAAAAGGAAACTCCTGAACTACAGTGACTGGAACAGGACTGTCTAGCAAGATTTGATACTACGTCATCCTTTTGTGAGGGGATATCGCATAGAAAAGAGAAAAATTAATCAGAAAATGTTCATTCTTCCAAGCTTGTGCTTCACTCACTAAACCAGAAAGTTATGTTTTGATGGAGTAACTAAACTAATCTTACAAACTTTATTAATATTTATGCTTGTTCAAGAGACCAATAGCTATTAGAAATAATAGCTATTCCTGGAAATTCTACCTCAATTTATATTTGCCTGCCTAGTGCAAGTTACTGCATCCTGAAAAATGTTTTAAATGTCTATGGTTCTGCATTCCCAGGTGAAAAGCCAGCTCTTTTACGGAGGGGGAAAGCAAGGGTTTTCTTTTCCTTCCACTTGCAGGTGTGGAGTCTTATCTTCTATCTAGTGAGGCCTTAATTCAGCAGCAGAAGGGACAGAGCTTTTAAATTCCTTTATGTAAAAGGGGTGGAAAAGTGAGAGATACTATGCCTGTGCTGATAGCAGAGGAAGAGTAGTTAAGCTCCTGTATTCTTTAATGCCTAAATATCTATAGTTTGCCATCTAGTTGCCCTTATTGTTCAGATGAAATCATACAACGGCAAATCTCAATAATTGCCCTTTGGTTGTATACTTATCCAGGGGAACTCGATCATGTTCTCTTTCACCAAGTGTCACCATAGTGCCTGCGGAGGCTCTTGCTACGGAATCTCTGGGTCTTTCAGATACCGTACCGCTGACAAAGCTCGTTGTAGCATTGGTCTTGAATGCCTGGCAAATATATTGAACTCTTGATGTCAGACACATGCAAAAAGCTCACTTTTCTCACATATCTTTTCTTGTTGTTAAAATAAATAAATATCTCCTAAAATTCACTCTTTTCAAAACTAAGTAATTATTTAGGAAATGCTGAGATATATCGTGATTATGAAAAGCTGTTCCAGGTGGATGTTTGATTGTCATTTGTTTAAAGTTGTTTCGGTTAGCATGTGTAAAAATACATAGAACTCTAATTGTAGACGAAGCCATTCCTTCATCTGAAATATTTGCTTTTTCCTGTGTTTATGTAGAATAGGACTATGTGTAGTCTGGCTTTCTTGAGAGTCAAGTTCTTACTGCTGTGTAACTTTTCTCTAGTTTGCAATAGAACAGCTCTTCCAATTATATGTATAGTTTACCTTTTTCTAGGACTATTAGAAAAATAAGATAAAACTGTCATCCTCATAAAGCTGTGCCAAACACAGTTTTAGTGATTTAAAATTAAAAAGATGATACTTGAGGCGTGCTCTTTTTACCCTTAGCTATTATCTGGCCAATTTCCTACTAGCTCATTTAATGAAAGATTATGTTTGCACAGAAGTAATTTCTGCTGAAACTTTTTTATGTGCGCACTGTGAGGTTACACATTGCACACAGCAAGGATTTTTATTCTGCCTGCAGTGGATGTTTAACTCCCTTAGTATCTTTCTCCCAAATGATGTTTGCCCTTTAAAACTTGTGACCCAGTTTCTTGAAAGCTATTAAGGCAGTTGTGATAGCAGGTTACCTGGTCAAAACAACAGGTTTGAGAAGCTTAATATGAGCTTCAGGATCCAATATGAGGACTGTCCAAATTCAGCAGCACAGAGCCCTAGTTCCTTTTCTTCTTTTTGTCAGATGAGTTAAGTATTCAGTCTAGTCCTGGAGCAGTTGTTTAAAACCATAATCTTCAATTTATTCTCTGCAAAAGGATTTTTTTACATATAGTAAACACAGGATAGCAGAACTACTATTCATTTTGCTGCTCTGCCTTCTTGAGAGGATAGCCAGAAAGAGAGACCTTAGGGCATGTCCATACATGCCTCTGGCAGCATTGTGCTGTTACAGTAAGAAATCCTCTGAGAGTTGTGCTTAAAACTCAGCTCTGGATTCGTGTCTGCCTTTTTGCAACCTGAATCTCTTGCTCAAGAGTAGGGCATGATCTATGAAAAAATAAGGTCATGTCTAACAGTGTTAGGGTTTATTTTAGCATATGCTATCTCCAACCAAGTAAGAAATAAAGTCAATGTTCATGTGATTTGAAAATATTTTTGAGAGATTTTTTTTCCAAGTTGAAAGTGCTCAGGATTAAAAAAAAAAATTACTATTTCAAAATGCGCTCTAGTTAATGCAATACTACTAAAATAATTGTAAAATCTTTAAGCCTCATGCTCTAAAATGTTCTTTATTAATGCATTCTGGAAATGTTAAAACACTCAAAATACTAAAACCCCATAGACAGTGCCTGTGTGATTGGCAAATTATATGGAGCATTGTATTAAAATACACAATTAAGTGACAAAAAGCTTTCTTTTGGTTTTTTTTTCGTGGCGGAGGACGTGTTTTGGGGGTTTTTGTGGCTAGCTCTTAGCCTGGTAAGCAATTTCAGGAGGCAGGGAGGTGATGTCCTGTATTCCGTTGGCTTTGATAAAGGTAGATGTGTGCATAACTGACTCAAGGAAGATTAATAACAAGATTATGTATGGCT